CGGGGCCCGCGGCCAGCGCGGCCGCCTGGTCACGCAGCAGCCGCACCAGGAAGCCGATGTACTTCATGGCCAGGCGGAGCACCTCGTTCTTGCTCAGCTTCCTGTCGGGCGGGTGCGTTGGCAGAAGCTTCCTGAGCTCAGCGAAGGCGCCGTTCACGTTCTGCTGTCGCCAGCGCTCGCGGCTGTTGGTGAACACGCGCCGGGCCACCTTCTGGGGCTGGTGACCTGCAGACAGGCGGGAAGGACTGGCAATGAGGCCCAGAGGGCGCCCCCGGCGCCCTCACTTCTGGCACCCCCTACCCTCGCGGGGGCCTAACCCAGGCAGCTCCTCTACCAGTTAGGAACCTCCCTGCCCTCTCCTTACCATCCCCTCTAAGAGCTGTGACAATCACAGGCCCTGTCCCAGCTGCAGATGGCTGTCCTGCCTTCAATACCAGTGATTCTCACACTTTAATGCCTATGGCTGAGATTCCCAAGGGAGTGTTTCTCCGTGACTGCCAGTCTGGCTAGCGCTCATTCTGAGTGGGTCTGGCCCCTTGGTGTGGCTGGGTGTTTTTATGAGTCTGAGAAGTAGTCTCATTGTGACTGTGGTCCTGTTGGTGTCTTCTGTGGCTCTGTGATTTGTGGTATACTGGAATGGCTGTGGATGTGTGTGGCAGTTGCCGTGTAGCTGTGATTATGGGACTATCTCCTGTGTAGGTGGGGTTCTGTGGCTGTCCTCTATACGGCTGTGGTTCTGTGGCTGTGGTTCCGTGGCTGTCCCTTGTGTGGATGTGGTTCTGTGGCTGTCTCCTGTGTGGCTGTACATCTGCGTGGAGCTGTCATCCTGTTTGCACTGTGCCACGTGGGGCTGTGTGTTTTGCCATGACTCGTCGTGGCTGTGCTGCTTGGCTTGTTGGGGTGGCTGCAGTTGTGTACTATGGGACTGTGGTTTTGCATAGAGGTCTAGCTTGTCCCACATGGGCTTGCTCTGTGTGTGTGTGTGTGTGTGTGTGTGTGTGTGTGTGTGTGTGTGTGTGTTTGAAACGTCTCTCCTTGTGGAAGGGTATGGGACACAGACCTGGGCCCCATGCAGAGACAGGTGGTTCCTTCAGCACACCTACACGTGTACACGCACACACACACACCCATGCTCACCCTCAGCCAGGTCCAGCTCACAGTGACTTGGTCTCCGTTTCAGCCGGCTGCTAGGGAAGATGCCGAAAGGTCCTGCCGGCCCAATGTAGAGGCTGTAAGGGGTTGTGGGTCACTAACGCTTTGTGGGCAAGGCCCCCTAGCCCCCAGCCCCCCAGGTCCTAGTCCCCACTGACCTGTTGAGGAAGGGGTGAGGGTGGTAATGCAGGGCCAGGGGGGGAGGGGCAGTTCCTAGGGCAGAGAGTTGCAGAAGAGGGGGCCGCAGGGCAGTCAGCTCCGTGGTGGGGACGCCTGCCCCTGGGGGCCTGGTGTGGCCCAGGCTGATCACCGGCACCCCGGGGGGCAGCCTGGAGGGTGAGGAACCTGGGTGGCCCACCTCCTCCACCTTTGGGGGCCCAGGCGAGGCTGGCTCAGGGGGTGGGGTGGGCGCTGGGCTGGGGCCACACACCATCTCTGCCTTCTCAGTCATGGTGGGGCCCACCTCTGCCTGGGCCTGGGGCGGGCACATGGACCCCGAGGGGGGTGCTCACCTGTGGGAGGGAAGGAAGCCAGTGTGGAGGGAGGACCCAGCTGCCACCCCCCACACCTAAGAGAGCTGGAGGGCTGGAGGGCCTGGGGGCGGGGTTCAGTGGGCAAAGGCTAGGCAGGTGGTGGGTGGGCTCAGATACTGTCCAGTGCAAGGGCAGAAGGCGCCCATGGAGGTACTAGGCCCCACAGGGCCATCTCTGAGCTACCTGAGGGCCTCCATCGTCTAGCCACTGAGCAAATTTACCTTCTTCTAAGATCCCCCCCACCTGCAGCCTGGGGGGACAATGCAGGGATCCCCTGGCTGATCCTGGGATCCCCCAAACCCCGAATTGACCCTCTGACCCTCCACTGACCCTGCAGGCTAACTTTGTAACCCTCAGAGCTGATCCTGAGACCCCTCATTGACTCATCAATGCCATGTGACTATGAAACCTCTCCAAGATTGACCTCTGACCCTTCTCTGATGCCCAGGTTGGCCCCATAGCCCTCAGATGTGTCTCTGAGGCTCCTCCTGTTGACTCTGCCTCCATGTCTGAGCCTTCCATGATTAGTCCAGTGACTCCTCATCCCCTAAAAATGTCCCCCTTGCTAGCCCGGTGGACCCACTATTGACACTGTGACTCCAAATGCTGACCCCAGGGCCTCTAAACACTGACCTCACTGCCTAGTACAGTCATGTTGCATGCTCTAACCCTCCCTGTGGAGTCCCCCAGGTTGGCACCCAATTTTGTACCCTGCTTCAATGTCTCTGTTCACTCTTGGCCCCAAGACCTGGGGTGTCCCCAAAAAGTCTGGGCCCTCCTAGCCCCTCTGCCTTGTCTTCCTGGGGAGGGTCCCAACTAGGCCCTGAGGAAGCTGGCCTGGCCTCTCACTTCATGGGCCAGCCCCATGAATGAATGAAGGAATGAATGCAGGCAGATCCCAGACCCTTCAGGCCGGCCCCCCTCTTACCCCAGCACTGGTCCCACCGCCTGGTGAGTGCCTGGGCTTGGGCCCCTTGGGGCCAGGATTCAAGTTCGGCTTCAGGCGTGGCCTCTGTGCACACAGCCCACAGTCCGCTGCCCCGTCTGGACCATGCTGTTGGGCCGGGCCTCCTCTAGGGTCCTGAGGGCCTGGCGGCTGCGTCGGCGCCTTTGTCCCCCCCGAGAGAAAGTGAGCACTCTGGCTGGACCGCCCTCTCCCCGGCCCGGCTTCCTCCCTTGCCCAGCGCAGAGGCTGGAGGATGCTGGGCGGGCGCAGATAAGGGCCTGGCCGCCTGGCCGCGCCTGATAAGGAGCCGCGCTGACCCCGGAGGAAATCGGCGGGCGGGGACCTCTGAGCGCGGGCCTCCGGGCCCCGCCCCCGGCCGGCGCAGGCAGGACTCGGCCTGTCACCCCAGGGGCCCCCCAGGCACGGAAGCGCGCAGCGGGAGAGTGGGTGGGGGTGGGGAGGCGCCCAGACCCAAGCAGAGGGGAAACTGAGGCAAGGAACCTGTTGCCTCGTGTCGCCTGAGTCTGGCCTCTTGCTTTAAATGCCCCCTGCCCGAGTGTCGTGCTGATGGGGGTGGGGGAGGGCCCTTTCCGGCCCAACCGGGCTGGGTGACCTGGGTCCCCTCCCCCTCCGCCTGGTTCCTCTTTTTACAGAGCCCCTCCCGGCCTTTTTGCCACTCCTCCCTGGAGTGGGGCCCCGGAATGGGGACAGCTCTTGTCAGTCTGGCCTCAGGTGTGCGACTTGGGCAGGTGTCCTGGACCCCCAGCACACTACCCACGCCAACTTTCCAAGCCCAGGGAGGTGAGAGGAAGCGACACAGCTGGATGCCAGGTCTGATGAGACCTTGTAGCGGACACCCCAATTCTAGGCCTCTTGACCACGGGACCACATAACCCCAACTAGGTGGCCCCTTGCCCTCACCCCACAGCACTAGGCCACTTTTGTATGGGGATTGAAGGTCATAGAAGGCGGTGTTGGGCAGGTGCCCTGGAGTAGGGGTGGAGCTCAGACCTCTCTGCAACGTCATAAAGGGAGGGGCCCAGGTTACAACTAGGTAGCAGTGACAAGACTGTCCCTTATCCCCCACTTTTCCCACCTGGGTCAGCCATGCTTTACTGTGGGTATCTGGATGACTGCCGAGCCCCAGGCAGAACCTCGGTTGTCACCCAGCACCAACAAGCCCACCCCCTCCCAAGGATGTGTGAAGCCCAGGCCCCCACAAGCAACCATCCTAGTTTCCCCAGGGAAATAACAGCTAATGTTCTGAGCACATAAGTTAACCCTTGGGAGGAAGATTTTCCAAGTATCATTTTACAGAAAGGGATGGCGACACATAGCGAGGTGACGGGTGCAGGGTTCCAAAACTAGCACGTGGCGGAGTGGAGATTCTGCCCCAGAGTTCTCCGTTAACGTTAGACCCTCCCTGCTCTGACAGGCAGCAATCCGGCCTGGGCCTCACTGCACAAACCCTCGGGCAACTGGGCAGGAAGCACCTGGTCTGGAACGGATGCACAGGGCGCCTGGTTCCGGTCTGGCTTCCGCCATCACGGCCCCGAGGGAACTGGGCCAAAGAAACTAGGCGGCGAGGAGGCAGTGGCGACGCCAGGCCACGTGGGGGTTCAATGGCGAAAGCCGCCGCATGCGCGCGTGTCCGAGGCCAGGAGCTCGCGACTGAGGGTAGGTGGGGCAAAAGCCCCGCGGGCGCCCGCGCACGACTGCCGCCCCGTGGCCGCGTCGGGAACCGCAGGCGCCAGCTCTGGGGCGAGAAAATGCCCCATGCTGGGGACACATCGCCTCGCAGACACAATACCCTAGTCAGAAAAACTGCCAACATCCCAGCCACGCAGGAACAAACACCCTCCTGGACAGGCAGTCCACAGAACTCCCCCAGGAAGTTAAAACAGAAGGACAGATGAACAGACCCCAGACATGCAGCGGGACAGATGGGCAAAGCCCCTCAGACAGAGACAGATAGACCACAGGCAACCTCCCCACTCAAACGAATGACAGTTGGGGGAAAATGACATCTCTTTATTGGTTCAGTCTGTGCCTGTCCAGCGGTGGCCTGGGGTTGCTAGTCAGTCAGTGGGGGCAGCATCAGCGGCAGGCCGGGGTGTCGTGGGGCTGTGGGAATAGCAGCACTGGTCCCCGTGTTGACAAGTGCCCTGATGGGAGGGTGGTGGGTGTGAACCCCAGCCCAGAGCTGGGCAGGCTCCCCTGGGTTCCACTCCTACATGGGAAGCTCATTGCCAGGTGTCACTACTCGTGGTGCTGTCTGCATCTTGGCTCTGCCCTGCTACCCAGGGCCTGCGGCTGCCTGGGCGGACCTGCGTGCCCTGCACTGGCAGGAAGTGGGGAGGCTCACCTTCTTGAACCTCTTGCAGGGAAATGTCTTGAGCCGAGCAGCCCGCTGGGCCGGGTCCTCAGCCGGCTCCTTCCGCTTATTCTGGAGCAGCCTGCGCCTCTCCTCTACGGCACGGCCTGCCGCCTTGCCCCTGTGTAGGGAGATGGGCACTGGGACCCAGTTGGTCTTTGCCCACCCTACTCAGCTGAACCCCCACCAACACTCTACTCACCCTGGACGGGCACGCGGCCGGGGGCCCCAGTTGGCCTCGGGGTTGGCCTGGAAGCGCTTGAGTCCTCGCTGGCGAGAGATGGGGTTGGCATCTCCCCGGATGGTGAAGTTGGCCTGCAGACTGGGGGCGGGGGAGGCGAGAGGCAGGGGCCATTACATGTGCAGCGCCAGCCCCTGGGGTCTGCCTACGTTGGTGCAGCGTGTATGTGCCTTGTGAAGACTGTCTGCCCGTGTGTCCAAATTCTTTCATTCACTTAATAAACATTTACTGAGCGCCTACTGTGTGCCTGCACTGTTCTTGGTGCTGGGAACAGTGGAAAAAAGGGATAAAAACCCTTGTGCCTTCTGCAGCTGACATTCTCATGTGGGAGACAGGCAACAGTATAAATCAGAAATAAGCAAATGATATTGTGTGTTAGGGAGTAAGATAGAGGTTTTTTTGAGGGGAAAACGGAGCAGAGTAAAGGGAATGGGGAGCCTGAGGAAGGGATGTAATGCCGGATGGGGGGGCAGACAGGGCCTCACTGAGGAGAGACACGTGCAGAGACCTGAAGGAGATGAGGGAGGAGTGTCGGGGGATATGGGGAAGGGCTCTCCAGGCAGAGGGCACAGCCCACGCAAAGGCCCAGAGGCTGGACCGCATTGGGTGTGTTTGAGTGAGATGGCTTATGCAGCTGGAGCCTAGTGAGCAAGGGAGTGGGAAGAGATGAGGGAAGGGAGGGTTTTGGGAGGATCGTGCAGGACCTGTGGGCTGCAGGGAGGACTTGAGCTTTTACCCCAAGTGAGGTGGGAGCCAAGGAACCGTGGTGGCACAGTGGCTAAGCGCTCAGCTGCTAACCGAGGTTGGTGGTTTGAACCCACCAGCTGCTGCACGGGAGAAAGATGTGGCAGTCTGCTTCCGTAAAGATGACAGCCTTGGAAACCCTATGGGGCAGCTACTCTGTCCTATAGGGTCACTGTGAATCGGAATCGACTCAAGGGCAATAGGTTTGGGTTTTTTGGTTTTTGAGATGGGAGCCATAGAGGGTTCTGAGTAGAGGAGAGACGTGCCCTGACTCAGGTGTTCACTGGCGCCCTCTGGCTGCTGTGGGGGGCGAGGGCAGGAGCCAGGGACCAGGGAGGAGACTGCACTGGTCCCAGTGAGGGGGAAGAGGGGAGGAAGATGGGTTCTGAATCTCATTTGAACACCAAGCCTGTGTCTATGTGGGGAAGTGTCTGTGCCTGCACACGTGTGTGTTTCCTAAGCCTGTGGGTTCACATGTCTGTGCCCATGCCTGTGCGTCTGTACCTGGGCTCCACACTGAGAATGCGGAACGCCGGAGTGGTATCTGACAGCCGCTCGCGTTTCACTGGACACTCCTTCTCCTGGGCAGCAGAGTCAGGGGTCAGGAGACACTGGGCCAGGAGAGGCCTCAGGCATCCATCCCCTGCCCCTTCCCTCTAGTCAAGCAGCCCTCACCCAGCAGCGCATGATGTCCCAGAGAACTGAGGACGGGGCGTCGGTCTTCACGGCATTCTTACAGGCATGGGAGAGGGAGACCCTGAAGCCAGCATGGAGGAGGGCCGACCTGGGGAGGGAAGGGCTGTGATGGGGGCTGGGCCCAGAGCCCAGCTGGCCCGTGTGGTGTGAGTGGGGCTCCATGGATGGCGTGGCTGCACAACTCCCCATGACCACGTGGACCACACAGTACCATGGACTATAATAGAAAGACTCTCCGGGTGGTGAGGGCGCCACGCCCTGTTCTAAGCACTTTGCGTGCGCTGAGAGCCCTGGCTGGAGTCGAGCTTATCTCCACGTGGCCGCGGAGGCCGGAGAGCCTGACGTGCCCAGGGCACCCTTGGGGGCCTCACCGCAGCTGCAGGAGGCTGGGCGTGCTGCAGTGGATGGTGCTGCTCAGCTGGTCCAGTGTGTAGTAGAGGGGCACGTCCGGGAGCTCCTGCAGGGGGACAGGTGGGCACGGGGCGGATGTGCAGGGGACAGGCACGGCTATGGGTAGAGCCCCCCCAATCACAGCCTGGCTCCCACCTCAGTGACAACGCTCAGGACCCCGCGGATCCGCTCGGAGGTGTGGAAACGGCTGGGGTTGGCATTCACAGCCTCCAGGACGCGGCCCACAAAGTCCAGGTCATGGATGGGCTCTGCCCACATGGGGCCGCCAAGCTGTGGACACACGGGGGTCATATGGGCAGGGCTGTGCTCGAGTGTCCCCATGCCCACCTCCGCCTCCACTGGCCTGGCCCCACCTGGTGTCTCTGCCCACAGTGCTCGCAGTCTGGCGCCACGGGGGGACCGCAAGCCGTAGAGAACTTGACCCTGTGGGAAGAGGGGCGTTTAGGGAGTGGTAACCCAGGAAGCCCCTTCCGCCGCCTTCCTTCCCAGCCGACCCTTGCTCACTGTTTTCCGGAGGCTGCTGATACTCTGCCAAGGCGCTGAAGGTGGAAGGACCCGCAACCCACACACTGGAACACCAGGGCCTGCTTGCTGCAGATGAGGGAGGGTGGCTCAAGTTCCAGGTCCAGCCCGCCACCACACCCCAACTCCTCCCTAAGGCTGGCTCAGTCCCCTTCAGACTCTCCAGGGCAGGACCAGATCCCCCCATCTCCCAAGGCATGACCGTGCCCCCTAATCTCCCAGTCAGGACTGTCCCTCCACTCCGCCAAGGCAGGACTATGCCCCCCATCTCCCCAAGGCAGGACCGTGCCCCCCAGTCTCTCAGGCAGGACCATGTCCCCCCTCATTCTCCCAGGGTAGGACCATGTCCCCCCATTCCCCAAGAGCAGGACCATATCCCCCATTCCCCCAGTCAGGGTCCTGTCTCTTCCCTTAATCCATCCTGCCCCACCCTGACCCCAGGCCAACCTGGCTGAGGCCTTGACTTTGGCCTGGCCGGTGAAGACGCGGACAAACACTCGGATGTAGAAGTCAGCACTGATGCTGAGCAATGGCACGATGAAGCGCTGGTAGCAGTTGGCCCGGAGGTCGAGGCTGTGCAGGATGATCCTCAGGGCCTGGTGCCCAGGGGATGGGCATTAGCACCTGGCCCCTGCCACTCCCCCTCCCCGAGAAGCAGCTCACAGTGTAGGCTGGAGCAGGCTCCCTGGGTTCCAGTCCCAGCCCTGTCACGTCCTGGCTGTGTGACCCTCAGCAAGTGAGCTCCACCTCTCTGTGCCTCAGTGAGCTCATCTTCTAGAGCTCAGCAGCCCCTGTCTCTCCAGAGCCCTGCTGGGGCACTAAGTGAGCAAAGGAACACATGGCCTGGAAACTGAGGATTTGATAGGCACTGACATCAGTACCCCTTGGGGTGGGCTGTGGGCAAGGACCTGAGTCCCAGCCACCAGGGGCTCTGTGAGTAGGAAGTGTGGGGACACTGGGCGCTGCAGAACTGCCAGGGCTTTCTTGCCAGAAACCACTGTGAGACTCCAACAAGGCAAACGAGGAGGTGTTTGCCAGAGTGCTCTGATGACAGGGCCCTTAAGGAACAAGGACAAGAGTGCCTCCTACCCCTGCCTTCTTGAATCCCCATAACAAGCCCATGGGGTTGGCGCCATCATCACACTCGCTTTACAGATGCAAAAACTGAGGCCCAGAAAAAAGTCACTTGTTGCCTAAAGACACCAGCAAAGATAGGTTTCAAACCCAGATCTGAGCCTACGCTGGAAAAACTGCCTCACAAAGGACAATTTTGAAAAGTTTTTAAAATTCACAATACTAGAAGGAATAAAGGAACCACCCACTCCGACCTTGGCCTGGGCAAAGCCAGTGGCCCGCAATGACCGAGACGGGCAGCCTGTGCTCTGAGCAACTCTGCTGGTTAGAGAGGTGTGTGTCACTCACATCTGGGCACGGATCCAGCCCTGGCTGCCTGGGGTGGGAGGGCGGCCCCAGGGTGGGGGGCTTACCATCTCGTGGCAGGCCCGGCTCTTGAGGGCCATGGACCCATACTTGCTGTAGCATGTCTCCCCGCTGTTCCCCGCCAGCACCGCCATGTCTGTGCAGGTCACACACAGCAGCCCTGCAGGGAGAGGTGGGCAGTGAGGACCATCCAAACAGCCCAAGCCCTGCTCCTCGTGGCACCAGCCTTAGCCTCACCTCCTTCACTCACAGCCTGCACCGCGGCATCCAGGAAGGGGGCAGGGCTGCCATAAGGGTCCAGGTCAATGACATCGAAGCGTTCTGACACGCTCTGGTGCTGGTACATCAGCATCCTGGGTGCGAGAAGGCCAGGCCTTTAGTGCAGGGCCCAGCCCCCTCCCCTACACGTGTCAACTCAGACAACTCAGTGGTTTTGACCTAGACTCGGGCCAGCTGCCTGGGCTCAAATCCTGGCTTAGTCATTTACTAACTGCATGATTTTTCCTCCTTGGGCCTCAGTCTACCCATCTACACCAACAATAATAATAGCTAACATTAACACAGCACAGGCATGCCCGGCACTGTTTCAAGCAGCTTATACATGTATTAACTCATTCAATTCTCCAAACAACTCCATGGACTGGGAACTACTGTGATTCCCTTTGCTACCTTCTCAATGGAGCCTACCCTGACCACACTGCTTAAAATTATAAGCTCCTTCCCCGCCTTCCTCTTTATCTTTTCTATGGTACTTTTCCCTTCTAGTTTACTACGTAATTTACTTATTTGCACATTTGTTTTGTTATCATCTGTTTCCAATTAGACTCTATTGGGGCAGGACTCTTGTTCTGTAAAGGGTCAGATAGTAAATATTTCAGGCTTTATAGACCACATATGGTCTCTACTGCATATTGTTCTTCTTTTTTTAGCCCGTTAAAAATATAAAAAGTATTCTTAGCTCGCAGGCCATGCAAAACTAGGCTGCAGGTCCACAGGCTGCAGTTGGCCAACCCCTGCTTTAGAACAAAAACTCCACCAGGTCAGGGATTTTGTTTTGTTTACTGATGCATTCTGGCACTGAGAATGGTGCCTGCCACATACTGGGAACTCTATAAACACCAGTTGCATTTGAACAATAAAAGAAGTACAAAGAGTTAAGTCTAAAATGGAGACTACAATGGTACTTATCTTTGCCACAGAGTAAGGACTATATAAGAATCTTCTATCATTTAATCATCATAGCAGCCCCTGTAAAACTATTGCCCTCGTTTTACAGATTAAGCAACTGACGCTCAGAGAGGCTAAATCATTTGCCCAAGGTCACGCAGTGAGAATATGAGAGCCAGGATGTGACACCAGGCAGCTTGGCTCCAGAGTCCATCTCCTGTACACTAGGCTCTGCTGCCCCATACCTACCGGGCGTCTGCCTGGCTGGGCTGTACCAGGTGGGCCACATCGTTGAGCAGCACATTGCGGCGTATGAGGTGCACAGCCTGGGAGGAGGCATCGTTGGCAACCACAGATCGAAGCCCAGGCACCTCTTGGGCGAAGCGGATGGAACGCAAGCCAGAGGCTGCCAGGCCCTCCAGCACCCGCAGGCCCTCCTGTTGGGGTAAGCAGGGAACCTCACTCACATCCATACCTGTATCCTCTGCTAAGCCCCTAGGAGCACCCCTCCTCCACGTCCTTTAGATCTGCCACTTCAGGATCCCTCTTCCCTCCATCACCCACTGAATTCCAGGGCTCCCACCACCTGTGCTCAGGCCCCACCTCACAGATCTCCCTCACGGATGCTGTTCGAGGCTGGTCTCCTGGGGCCAGGTTTTCACCCTCTTTCAGTTCAGCCTTGTCCTCCTCTTGCTCTGACAAGTCCACGACCAACTTTTGCACATCCTTCTCACCTGGCACCTTTACTGCAGCCACCCAGAAGCATGATTCAGACATGAAAGTCCCCTCTGAGAAATCTCCCCTAACTCTTCAGAATACAGAAGACTCATGGAAGAAAACCTTCCTCAAACCCCCTGGGGAAAGGCTGATGGAGCAGAGTCCAAGGCCTGCTATGTGGCTGGAGCCTTCTGGGGTTGGGAGATAGTGTGGTGAGGCAGGGAGAGCTTTGTGTGACCCCCGCCCACCAGGATCTTGGACCGCCACTCACTCTGAATTCCTTTGGTCTGAAGCTGAATGCGAGCAAACTCGGTGATCACAGCACATCTGACAGGACACGGAAGATCAGTTCACATCCATTCCACCTCACTGACCCACTGCCTCCTGCCCTTGGCTAGGCTGACCCCTAACCCCTGCTCACGTCAGGTCCCGGTTGAACTCCTGAACCGGGTTGTAGAAGACTTCGTTAGCACTGGGGAAAGCGATCTTGGCGGCCCCTTCAGTGACTGTCGTCTCCTGGGCCTCAGGTGGGCACTCTTCTCCGCTGGTCCCGGTGCCATTCTCCATCGCGTCCGGATTCAGCGGCTCTTGGGGCTGCCTCACCATAAACCGGGCTCTACAGACACTGCGGGAGGAGCGAAGGGTGAGGCTTAGCCACAGAAGGATCCTCGCGCGGAACATCCGCGGGCGCCTCTGTCCGCCACGCCTGACTGGGGAGTAGAAGAGATGATCAAAGAGGGCTACGTTCTGGGCCGCGGGTGGAGGCTAAGACCCTGCGGCCTCGGGACGCTGACACCTCCCCCCTCTTCCGGGGACCAGCCGGAAACCCTCGGAGAGGACCCGTCCCCGGTCTGGATACCTCCCCGTGCCGCCTAGGCTCTCTTCACCTTTTCTCGGGAAATCAAGAAGGAAGTAGGTCACGGTGCACGTTTCCTAAATTAAGACCCGGGCGCCGCCATGTTGGCACAGTGGGCGGGTGGTCATGTGACCAATTCAGCCAATCAGTGATGCTACATACGGTTGGCGACCAGGACGGTAGGCAACCGGGATCAAAATGCACGGTGGGAATGATGCGCGCTGAATGTGCTGTACAAGTGGGTTTAATCACAGCGGATCCCCGGGGAGGGAAACATGTTACCGACCTCATTTCACACGTGAGAAAGCTGAGGCCCAGTAAAAGGGCAGTAAGCGGAAAAATGCAACACCTATGAATCGTCTACTATGTGTCAAATGCTGTATATACATTGTTTCAGAGCATCCTCCAGTGTACCAGGAATAACTCAGGCTCTGGAATCAGACTTTACTGAATTTGAACCCCAGTCCTACCACATGCTCTGGGCAAGTTGCTTAAATTCTCTGGGTCTCACTTTCCTTATCTCTACAATAGGAATCCTAACTTCCAAGAGAGAGCAAAGATTAACCGACAGAATGCTTGGAAAGTGTTCCATGCAGCCCTCTTACATTGCGCTTGGGAGATGCTAACTGATATACGAACGCAAGAAAGCAGTGTCTGGCCGCCAGGGTTCCAGTCCCAGTTCTGCTGCTGGCTACTTGATCTTAACCCTCTCTGTGCTTCAGTTACCCCATTTGCAAAATGGGCAGAACTTTTTAACATTCGTCATTGAGTTGCGGTGAAAAATAAACGAGTTTAGTGCAGGTAAAACGCGCAGAACGAAACCCGGCATCGCGTAAACATCGTAGGAACGTTAGCTTTTATTGTTGCTTCTTGAGCCTGAGTTTGAAGTCAGGTACCCACTACCACTTTCTTGCCGTATCATCTTGAGCAAATTACTTCATCTGTCTTCTTTTCTAGAAAGTTGTGTGCGTGTGTGTTATAATTCCTATTTTAAAAATGTTTCTGTGAAGTTTAAGCAAAGTCGGGTCTCATAAAGAGCCTGAAACAGTGCCTGGCTCAATAAATAGCAGTCATTGTTGTTTTCGTTTTATAGGAAACTGAGGTTAGGAGAGGCAAAGCGACTTGCCCAAAGTCGCGGGGCTAGAAATTGGCGGGGCCAGGATTCGAACTCGTGAGCACAGTCGAGTTACTGGAGGGAATACCCAGGGGCCGAGGGAGGAGCCCGAGCCTGGAAGAGGGGTGCGCTCGACGCTCGGCTAGCCAAGCCTGGGGGCGGGACGTGGGGGCGGTGTGCAGGCGGGGCCACGGCTGCTCCTCCCCGG